AATAAATAAATAAATAAATAAATAAAATCTTTAAAAAACAACAACAAATACCAAAGAGATATACCCTAAGAAAAGAGTCAGTTCCGGGCCTCCGAAATACTGATCCTTCCTCTTAGCTTGAAGTTCCTTCCATCTCACAGCTTGCTGAACGGCTGTTATTGATAAGCATTCCAAAGAATGGGCTTGCAAAGACAGGGGCAGTCTAGCAAAGATGGGTATATAGCCCCTGACACGGGTATATGGGCCAAGAGCTTTTTCATTCATTCAGCAAATGTTTATTGAATGCCTTTTGTTATGGGCTGAAGTGTGCTCCCTGAAATGCCTATGTTGAAGCTCTAACCCCCCAGCATCTCAGAATGTGACTGTAGTTGGAGATAGGCCCTAATCCAAGATGACTGGTGTCCTTATAGAGCCATTAAAACAGACATGTACACGTAGAGGAAAGACCACATGAGGACAGTGAGAAGGCGGCACCTGCAAACCAGAGAGAAGCCTCAGAAAAAAATTTTCGAACACTTTCTCTTGGACTTCTAGCCTCCAGAACTGAGAGAAAATAAATTTCTGTTGTTTAAACCATCCAGTCTGTGGTATTTTGTTACGATACTAGTTACTGAGAATATATAGGTCAGTAAGAATCTGTCTCAAGTTTCTATTCTGCTGAGGAGGATGGACAGGTAAACAATTTTAAAACGGTGGGGGTAAACAAATAGTGTATGCCTAGTGGATGGGCACCAAACCCCAATTTGGGGAGAGGAAGAACAGAGTGTTGGGAGAGTAGCCTGGAGGCCATAGGATGTGTAGGAGTTAGCCAAAAGAAGAGACTTCTAGGGAGAAAGACAGCGTTAACAAAGGCAAAGGGCTGGAGAGAGATTAGTGTTCAAGGGAAGTGGACAGCTTGTAGTTTTGCTGGAGTGGAGAGCATCAAGGGTGAGGCAGGAGGCTGGGAGGACAGGGCCTTGCATGCCATGCTGAGGGACCTGAATATAATTGTGGAGGGAGAGGGAAAGATTGGAAGACTTCTCAAAGCAGTGACTCAGATTTGCATTTAAAATCTTTGATTAAAAGATCAGTTTACACTTAAGCCAAGAATGGCTGACAGCAAATTGAGAGCAAGAGTAAGACAAAGCAGAGCCTGAGAAAGTACCAATGGGATGGTCAGGGGTCACGTCAACAAACCTTACCTGCTGTGTTGGCCTTGTTAGCAGCTCACACCATCTCCTTTGCCAGGCAAGCAACACAAAACTCCAGCTCTGACACCTCAAGGAAGCCTTTCCTGACCGGTCTCAAACTGACTTCTCATTCCCTCTATAGCATCATCTACTTATACTTGCACCTACTTCATTCCTGATACCTTTCTCTTAAAAGTACTTCCTTTTTCTTGGGCAGGGGTTTGCATCATACTCCTCTCCCTGGTGACAGTAATGTTAAGTGATGGTTAGAATTCAGGTTCTATTTTGAGTCTCTTCAAGGGGTGGGAGTCCAAAATACTTTGTGGCAGTTATGCTGATGTATTAATTTCACATTCCCTTGTTTTTCTAAGCTCGGCCACCCTCCTTGAGATTCCCAACCCAAAGAAGGGACCTCCTTCACCATATACACCTGTCAGGTAACGATTCCTTCCATTTTGCTTCACTCTTCCCTTGAAATTTCTCCTCCCTTGTTTCCAGTCTTCTTGATCCAGCCAATTCCCTATTTCACTTATTTATTCAATAAACAAGAGGCTATTTGAATATTTTTTCTTCTCTTTCTTCAGAATCGATTGACTGGCTCTGCTTACCCTTACTCTTAACTCTGCAGGCTGTTGTCTTACTCCTGAGGACAAAGCAGACATGGAGTCAAAGACCCAAAAAACCCAGGGACAGGCAATGCCAAGTTTGAATCCACTGCTTCTTGCTCATCACCATAGATTCAGCCTCTGTAACACCTTAGCGGTTAAAAACAACCTAATACTTCCCTCTTAGGCCCCCAGGAAATCTTGTGACTGACTCCTTAATTTTTGCTGATTCTTTGCTCATTTTATTGTACAATGTTAAGAAAATGGTCAAGATCAAGAATTTTCTTTATGCTCATGCCCTTAACATCATTTTGCAAATTCAATTAAGTTGAAGCACAGTTTGGAGAGTAAGTTATTAATGCAGTCAGATGTGTGGGTTGTGGGAACTTGCAAAGATTTATCAAGCAGCTTCCTAAAATCAGATTTGAGAAATAAAGAGCTCTTGAAAGTCAATAAATCAAACTCAATTGCACATAGGAATATACTTTCTGACACTACGGTGGGGATATAAAGCAGTGATCTTCCAGTGCAGCATAGCATGTTGTATCAAAATGGGTATGTGAGTTAAGAGGTACATAATACTCAGTAAATGTTAATGGTTTTAAATATTAGACAGCAACTGGAGGCCACCCATTTCCTGTTGCTAAACTGACAAAAAGCAATCCATTTTAAAGAATTGCCGAAATATTCCAGCAAAATGAGGCCACAATTTTAGAAAAGTAACACTGTACTTTGATCAACATAGATTAAGCTTTATTTCTGAAACAGTATTAGTTATCAATCTAACTCTGTGGTGGTTTCAAAGATTGGAGAGGTGAAAATAAACTCTGTTTTGGTCATCTGAGAGGACCTATTAGAATTTGAAGTTAAGGTCAGAACCTTAGGGATCATTTATCTTGAGACAAAAACATGAGTCATAAACTATCTTGAAACTTCGGCTGTGGCCAAACTGCAACATTTGGACTCTTTTTTCTTTTTCTAAAGATTATTTGTCAGAGAGAGAGTACAAGCAGAGGGAGGAGGCGGCTCCCTGCTGAGCAAGGGGCCTGATGCGGGACTTGATCCCAGGGTTCTGGGATCATTACCTGACCTGAAGGCAGATGCTTAACTGACTGATCCATCCAGGGGTCCCCATTTGGGCCCTCTTCTGTTAAAATTGAAAACCATAATCACTTAAAACCCAATACACAATCTGTTTCTGATTTTTTAAAAAAGATTATTTGAGAGAGAGGGCGTGTACACACAAGTGTGCACGAAGGGGGTTAGGGGCAAAGGGAGAAAATATCAAGCAGACTCCCTGCTAATGGGGGAGCCAGCCACCCAGAAGCCACCAATATGTTTGCTTTTTGTGAAAAGTTGGAACTTTAGACTACTATTAGAAAAAAAAAATCTGTGTTGTTGGTAGTTAACAAATTTATGTGTATTCCCTTAAAAACTGGCATACTACTTAACACTTGGGACTTCTCTGTATGACTTCATGCTTGGAAGTTCTTAAATGAATCCATCTAAGATCACTTCTAAATCCTCTCTCCTTTAAAGAAATTAAATGGCATTGGGGTCCCCAGGGTCTCAGTCGTCAAACGTCCGACTCTTGATTTCCGTTCAGGTCTTGATCTCAGGGTCGTGAGATCAAGCCCTGCATCGGGCTCCGTGCTCAATGGGAATATGCTTGGGATTCTCCCTCCCCCTCTGCCCATCTCCCCACTGGTGTGCACATGCCCTCTAAAATAAAAAAATGAATCTTTAAAAAAAATTAATGGCATTACCTGAGTTACAATGATAAAATCCTCCCCATTTAATAATATTCCTTCTTTCCTAAAGTATATGCGGCTAAAACAGCATACTTGTGGGTAAGTTTGGCAATACGTCCTTGTGAGAAGTTTCTAAAGCCACACAGTATCTGTGAAATTGGAGCATTTACACAAGAGGCCAACAGCATTCTGACTGGACCCCCCCACTGAGGCAGCTCCTAGGCTGAAGTGATGTATGACCACTTAACTCATGAAGTCCAGACTTTCCTACACCAGTTTTATTTAAAACACAAATAAGTATTTCTCTTTCTTGTAATGGCAAATGGTTCAAATAATGCTGAACATGAATCACTGACTAATACAAGGACTTTAAATATGAAACAAAATTATTTTTAAAAAAGCAAAAGAATAAAGGTTATATACAAAAGGGACCTGGAATCTTTAAGCTGATTCCAAAAATGAAATGAGTAGAAAATCTGTGAAACCAGAACATTCCACCCTTGCTTTGGAGAAGGGCTATTATACAACATTCAGTCAGCTGAAGATGGATTGGTAGAGAGGTGTCTATACATAAATTTCAAGTCATTTTTGCTTGTGCAGAATCATCCAGATCTTCCCAAGACTGAATGGGCAGTCCTGTGGCTTTCTTCCTTTTCCATATTCCCAACAAGGCTACATGAGGTTCAACTCTTGATGAGCCGCTTACAACAGCAGTTCCTTAGGAGCCAACACGACAGGTGGATCAGATTTCCCTGTGAGAAACCAAACTGGCCACCTACGGCAAAGTATCAAAACGGACAGGTCCTTCTTTCCTCTTCCTTCTGATTATGTACAGTATGTCTCCTTTCAAGACTCTTATCCCCATCGTACTTGTTCCTTCACAAGTCTAAACCTTGAGGTGATATGAAGGAGACTGACATCAAGAAAAGAAAATTCAATTCAGAAACGAAGAAAACTGGAAGGTATACAATACACCCCCAGAGCATCTCAATCATCCTCGCTACAGTACAGTTCGGTGTACTGCTACAGTCCAGAGATAAATATTGGCAGCTTGGAGGAGTTCATTTGTTCCCCTCTGGTGGTTAAAGGGCACCAAATAAATAACTGGGCAAGAGGAGTTTGCTGGGAGAGTTAGAAATAAAAAATTAACCAATTTTAATTCCTGTGAGAATTCAATGCCAGTAGGAGGCAAGTATTGAAGAAGAGAAAGGACAACTTTCATGCTAAAAAAAGAATTCCTCTAATCATTATGTCACCATCTCTTATTAAGAATCCAGGGAATCCCAGAAATAGAAAATTAGTTTCAGAGGACCCCTGAGGCACTTTAAAGCCTTAAAAAATTACAGTAATAATAAATTAGCTATTGCTCTTCAGAGGCTGACAGAGCAGCAGAAGCATGGAGAAATCAGGTTCAAAAAGTTATGTCCAGATTACAAGCTTCCGGAGCTGCTCAGCCTTCTCTAAAGCTTAGTTGAATCTCCAAATACCTTTAAAAAGACATACAATTTAACACAGACAGAGTGGATCTTTTGTTTAGTGGTAGTGTGAAATTTGGTCCTCACTGGCAGCAGCTGGTCTTCATCCTTTTCAAACTCAGACTACATTAATAAGTACATTAAGACAATACATAAAAGAAATACTAGAGCAAAGAGGAAAAAAGCCCAAACTGACAAACACCTCAAGGAGTCACTAAGTTCTCTTGCACCCTTTGACTTGGCTCTCCCTCTCAGTTTTTCTGTGGAGAGGTGTAAGACAGAATATTTTTCTCATAGATGCTAAACCATGGCATCGAATGGACAAAATGGTTATCAAGGGACTTCAAAAATCTGACCCCAAGGAATCCAGGACACATACAGGTAATTCAGAGGTATACTTCTGACTGGGGGCAAATTCTAGACTAAAGAAATGATCATCTTGGGTAAATGTTATAATAGATGAAACTAAGTCCAGTTTTTGTTTTTTTTTTTTTTAAATGTTCTACTGCCTTCAGCTATCAATCATCTCTGATAGCTCAAGCAGAAGGTCATCTTCATCTTTCCCAGGATCCAAGTCGATCTCAGCTTCTAATTTGCCTCCTGAAATCTCCCATATTAGTTTCTCAAAATCATCCTCCACAGAAAGCGGGGGCTTTCCTGTTGAGGTGGAGCTCAGTCGGCGAGTTTTCGTGGCCATCTGAGATGAAGAAGGGCCAGATACTTCCGGTGGGGAGGAATTTGAAGAGGACTGGGTTGGAGGCAGCACAAGACTGCAAGGGAAAAAACCCAAAAGATTATTAGAAAACTGCCCTTTGTTAATGGTTGACTGAATGGTCCCACGCTGGTCTCAGGAACACAAAGAGTTCGCGAAGAGTTATTTCTGATAACAATATAACACAAGAATTATTTTACTGATTTGGGACGAGGCATTTTCACCTGTTTAGTGTATGTGCTGCCGAAGCGAGCACCATTTTCACCCGTTTAAAGAACAATTCAGACAGATACTGAAAACATTGCAAAAATAATGCAATCAATATATAAACAGTGGCATCAAAGGAGAACAGCAACCTTGCATGCATATCATGTTTTCTTGTAATTAATTGGAAGTTTAGCAGATTTAAGTTCGCTATTAAGTTGGTCTGAGTGGCTAAGTTGGACATGTCCGAAGATTTATTTAGCAGTGTCATTCTCTAGAGCACATAAATAATAATAGTGGCCTAAAGTTTGGTTAAGAAGAATTGCAAGGTTTACCTGTCTCTAGGTTTTTCCATCTCAGGCACAGTGACTGACTTGTCCTCAGAAAGGAGTGGGACAACCGCCTACAAAAGTAAAAGGAAGGTTAACTCAGTGGGAGTCAGGCTTTTTTTATTTGAGCATATTCATTTACTTTGCCACCTTCTTAGAACCATGGTTATCATTCTTTAAGCCTGGAAATCCGAGAATAAATAATCCAAAGGCTAAGTGTAGAATAAACAAAATATCTTGCCACCCAAGAATTAGCTTAAAAAAAAAAAAATTCCATTCTGCCACTCCACAAATGTCTGTGAATGTAGAATACAGTAACAACCTAAACTAAAATGCTTTGGAAATGGCAAAAGTAGCACACACAGCTAGCAGAGTGACTCTGCCCTGCTTTCCTCCCACACTGACCAAAGCACCATCTAGCTGCATCTACTTCTTACCACAGCTGCTTTTTTGGTGGGGCTTTCCTGTAGGACGCTGCTGGAGCTGAGTGGCTTCACAGCTGCAATGACAGCAGGGTGGGCCTCCACTGCCTTGCGTTTGGGGGCCAATTTGGGGGATGAGACAACTTTAACCACAGATGGCTTCACATTGACTTTGGGTTTAGCTACAAGGGACAGAAAATATCTGATTAATAGCTAGAATAATTCCTCTTTTACATGGAGAATAACTCTAGAATATAAAAATTCCTTCACAATACTAGAAATATCATACACACCCCCAAATTGAAAGTAATCCATAAACAATGTGCACTACAATGTGGTCATAATGTAGATCTATACTCAATTCCTTTCACTGGCTCTTGAATTCGCTACTGTTCTTCCATTCCCTGGTGTTTTTCTTCTTCAAAACCAGAGGAAAGATGCACCACAGAGAGCTTTTATTCCCCCGCTGAGGTATAACTGACATATAACATTATATTAGTTTTGGGTATACAACATAATGACTTAATATGTGTATACACCGTGACTACATGATCGCCACAGTAAGTCTAGTTAATCCATTACCATACATAGTTACAATTTTTTTGTGTGAGCACTTTTAAGATCTACTCTCCTAGCAACTTTCAAATACGTAATAGAGTACTGTTATCTACAGTCACCATGCTATGTTACGTCCCCATGACTTAGTTAAAAATATGGAATGCTTCCTGAATTTGTGTGTCATCCTTGCACAGGGCCATCCTAATCTTCTCTGGAGCATTCCAGTTTTAGTCTATGTGCTGCCAAAGCGAGCTTTAGACAAAGCTTTTTATTTTTTTTACTTTTATTTTTCAAAGATTTTTTTTTATTTATTTGAGAGAGTGAGTTAGCAGGGGAAGGGGAGAGAGAGAGGGAGAAGCAGACTCCCCACTGAGCAGGGAACCCGATGCAGGGGTCTATCTCAAGACCCTGAGATCAT